GAAATAGCACCGAATCTGGTCTATGCCACTGCTGAAACCATGGAAGATCCTAATGTAGCCAATGCAAACTTCAACATAACTTGGGTCTTCCCCGTCGATCCAAGCTTCCGGTACTTTGTTCGGGTACATTTCTGTGATATAATCAGTCAGGCTCTTAACACTCTTGTCTTCAATCTTTACATAAATGATGATATTGCTGTGGGGAGTCTTGACCTCTCAACATTAACTGCTGATCTCAATGTTCCTTATTACAAAGACTTCATCTCAAATGCTTCAGCAGATTCCGATAGTTTGACTGTTAGTATTGGCCCAGATATGGCAGCAGATTTGACCAATGCAACTATGAGTGGGTTGGAGATTATGAAGATCAGCAATGAAGCTAAAAGCTTGAATGGGCTTTCTTCTGTTGGAAGTCTCCTTCCTAAAAGTCCTTCAAAGAAGAATAAATTAGCTATAATAATTGGTTCTGCTGTTGGAGCTGCAGCTGCAGTGATGTTAATTGGAATCTGTTATTGCTTCTTAGTGGCACGCAAGTCGAAAGATACTAGCCAAGGAAATTCATGGTTACCTTTGCCATTATATGGAAATTCTCTAACCATGACAAAAATGTCAACAACTTCACAAAAGAGTGCAACAGCAAGCTGCATCTCATTAGCTTCCTCCAACCTTGGCAGGTTTTTCATGTTCCAAGAAATCCTGGATGCAACCAACAAATTTGATGAGAGCCTATTGCTAGGGGTTGGTGGTTTTGGTAGGGTATACAAGGGAACACTTGAAGATGGAACCAAGGTAGCTGTCAAGAGAGGAAATCCCAGGTCTGAACAAGGCCTTGCTGAATTCCGAACTGAGATTGAAATGTTATCTAAGCTCCGTCACCGCCACCTTGTCTCTCTTATTGGCTACTGTGATGAAAGATCAGAAATGATTCTTGTTTATGAATACATGGCCAATGGACCTCTCAGAAGTCACCTTTATGGAACAGATCTGCCACCTCTGTCATGGAAGCAGCGGCTTGAAATATGCATCGGAGCTGCAAGGGGACTTCATTATCTTCACACTGGTGCAGCACAAAGTATTATTCATCGAGATGTGAAGACAACAAACATTCTCTTGGATGAGAACTTCGTGGCTAAAGTTGCTGATTTTGGCTTATCAAAAACAGGTCCATCTCTTGATCAGACACATGTCAGTACTGCTGTTAAGGGTAGTTTTGGCTACCTGGATCCTGAATACTTTCGAAGGCAACAGCTCACTGAGAAATCAGACGTATATTCTTTTGGGGTGGTTCTAATGGAAGTACTCTGTACTAGACCAGCTTTAAATCCTGTTCTTCCCAGGGAGCAAGTTAATATAGCAGAATGGGCAATGACTTGGCAAAAGAAAGGCATGTTGGATCAAATCATGGATTCAAATCTGGTGGGGAAGGTGAATCCAGCTTCTCTTAAGAAATATGGGGAGACAGCTGAGAAATGTCTGGCTGAGCATGGAGTTGACAGGCCATCAATGGGTGATGTCTTGTGGAATCTTGAATATGCTCTTCAATTAGAGGAGACATCATCAGCTCTCTTGGAACCTGAAGATAACAGTACAAACCATATTCCAGGCATACCGTTAACACCAATTGAACCATTTGATAACAGTGTAAGTATGATTGATGGGGGGAACTCCGGGACTGATGATGATGCAGAAGATGCAGCCACAAGTGCTGTATTCTCACAGCTAGTAAATCCTCGTGGAAGATAAGGGGTAGAAACTTCTGCCTGACAGTGATTTTTTTTTCATTGGACACCTTGCTAAAGATTGATTGTCTTGGTTCTGGAGATTACTTTGAAGTATTTCAAGTGAATTCACGAGGTCATTTCTTATTACACCATCCTGTTCCTTTTTTCTTTTATCAAACTATCAATCATTATATATTTAGTTTGTGATATAGTTACTTGATGGGTGCTAATTAGTCCATCAGAAATGGCATGTAAGCTACTATAAATATTCCATTGTTATTTTGATTCTATTTCCACAATTCTGTTCATTGAAAGAAAAAATATAATGGGGAAGTGTTTTCCCATGTTTGATATCTATTGGTTCTACTTCTATCTATTTTACTGCATGAAGTTTTCTGTTTCAAGGTAACAGCACAAAATGCTGGGAGCTTCTAGGCTTCTAAAACATGCAATTGGGACTGATTGATGGCCTTGTTGATAATCAATAATGCTGGTTTAAAATGTGAATTCTTACTTGCTTTTTAGGCAGGAACAATATCTTATTGTACACTAACAATGGCAAATTATAAGGTATCTATTAACTCTCTGTAAATATGGTCTACTGATCATACCATGTGAATTTGTGCTGTAACTTTTTTGATAAACTTCAAGTTTTCTCCAGAGGAGGAGAAAATACAAACAAATGAATGATATATTATTTTTAAGACTTATTAAGAAGAAACTGAAACTGTAACCAGAATGATTGTTTAGAGGTGACATGATGCAGATATTCAACAGGAAAATTTTGAGTTATTGTTGAGTGAGAGAGTCCTTCAACATTCTCTACCATGTGCTGAAGTTTCTTACTCATCTTCGGCAAAGTATTCCATTACCACTATTGGCTTTGCTGGAACAATCAAGAGTACCGAAGTCCCTCGCCAAAGGATCTGTCTGGTCCAAAACTCTGGCAGGAGAGAAAACACAAGATCTGCAATCTGCAGAGAG